CGTGCTTCTGGCTGTTCATCCGGAGATTGGGTGCAAGTGCCCTATGGAACCTCCCATCACGAGCTCTGGGACCACTGTGCACCCTACAGATATTATCCATCTGTCTGTCATCACACATTGTCTCCAGTTCCAAGGGACGCTCCCTCAACATCCGCAGCGACCCAGTCTAGGCGCCCTTCCTTGCCAGCTGACTCCTCCTTCAGTCCTCCGCTCCACTACGATACGGATTCAGAGGATTCAGATGCAGCGTCATCTTCACCTGATGCGGTGATTACTACACAAGGCCCCAGCTCACCTGAGGAGTCGTATTCGATGTATGGGGAACTGATGGCAAGATTGGCAAGGTCACTGGAGTTCGAGGCCCAGCACTGCTTCGAACCCAGTACTGGCAATTTTTATAACATTGTCAAAAAGGAGTTATCTGCCGCCATCATCTTGCCTCTTATAACAACCCTACGTCAAGCTATGATGGAGTTGTGGCAGTTCCCCAACCAACTGCAACCTACTTCACGACGGTATGAATCCATGTACAGAGTTCAGAAGCAAGATAACCCATTCGTCCTGCGCCATCCTAAACCGAACTCTGTCGTCGTGGAGTCGTCTCAGGGCCGTGAGACAAGGGAACACCACTCCTCACAACAAGGAAGGGCAAAAAGTTGACATGATGGCTCGCTGTATCTACACCTCCACAGGTCTCAGCCTCCACATTTCCAACTATGAGGCGACACTGGCTCGATATCAGTATTTCCTGATGCAAAAGTTGGAAAACATTACAGCATCGCTTCCAGAGCAGCAGAGGGACCTGGCACACGTCTTTACTAGAGAAGCGATGCAGGTGGCCATTCAAGAGCTCTCAATGGTGAGACATCATGTTGATTATGACTCGAGGGTCCTTGTTGGTGCTGTAGTCCTCCGTCGCCATGTCTGACTCCAGAACTACAATTTCCCAGATGAGACCAAGGGCTGTTCAACATGCTCTTCAACAGCTCCGGGCTGTTCAACACCAGGCTGGACCACAAGCTGAAGAACATTCACGAGGCTTGCATTACGGCTCGTTGCATGGAAGTTCCAGCACAGTCCAGACATAAATGGTCCTGGTCATGTCCCTCTTATTGGTACCAGCCGTACCCTCAGTTCTCTGGCCAGCAGCAGTTCCAGACCCATCAACAGCGCAGCCGTAAACAACCAACTCAGTGCTACCAGCAGGGTCGTTGCCGCCCCAACTCCGACAAGCAGCAACATTGATGGGTCAAGCAAACCTGTCCTCTACTCCAAAATCCACCCTCCCCTTTTCCTTTTGGGGATTGACTACAGACTTGACTCCCCATTTGGGAGTCCATCACATCTGATTGGTGGGTTTTGTCCATCATGGAGCACAGATATAAAATTGAGTTTGATACCTTACCCCCATCACGACTGATTCGATATAAGTCTCCGTCATTGGTTCTCAAAGACAAGTTCAGCAGCTTCTTCATAAAGGAGTGATTCGACAACTCGTGCTCCAAGGGACTCCACAGATTCTACTCAAGATACTTTACGGTCCCAAAATGGGACGGTGGTCTTCGCCCGATATTGAACCTACGTGGCGTCAACAAGTTTATCAAGGCTAAAAAATTCTGAATTACCATCCTTCAAAATATCCTTCCATTGCTCAGGAGAGAGGATTGGTTCGCTTCTCTAGACTTAAAGGATGCTTACTTTCATATTAGCATCTACCCGTCTTACAGACGACTTCTCCTGTTTACAGTCAGCTCCAACCTGTTTGAGTACAATGTTTTGCCATTCGGACTGGCTTCTGCGGCAAGGGTCTTCACTAAATGTATGGCACCTGCGACTTCAAGGGATTCACATTTACCCTTACCTCGATGACTGGTTGATCGTCTCCTCATCCAGAGAAGGGCTTCTATCAGCGATTCATACTACATGCTCCCTCCTTCACAGTCTGGGCCTTTGAATTAATTATGAAAAATTCTGCCTTGTTCCTTCACAGATCATTGACTTCATCGGAGCCTGTCTTGATTCCCTGAATGCAAGAGCCTTCCTTCCACAAGATCGTCAGGAGAAACTTCATTCATCCATTTGTCGAATCTACATGGACAGAACTGTTTCAGTTCTGTCAATACAGAAGCTCCTCAGACACATGGTCTCCTCAGTCTCTGTGGTCCTCTGCACCAGGTTATGGATGAGGCCTCTCCAACTGTGGTTCAGCCGCCTCTTCCACCCACAACAAGACTCACCACACCATCCCCTTCATCTACCTACCTCCATCCTTCAGACTCTGTCATGGTGGACAATAGAGAACAATCTATCTGTCGGAATTCTGTTCCGTCCACCTCAACTGGCATTGACTGTTCACAGATGCCTCCCTCATGGGTTTTGGGGAGCCCTTTGCGCCAGTCTTTGCACCGAGGGCACTTGGCACAACCATGAGACTACCAGACGCATCAGTTATCTAGAACTCTTAGCAGTCTTCAAAGCCCTTCAGTCATTTTAGAATGCTCTTCGGGATCGAGTCATTCAAGTTGTCTCCGACAACATTGTTACTGTCTTCTATATAAACAAACAGAGCGGAACAATGTCTGCCCCCCTGGCTTATCTCGCCCTATGACTCTGGGACTGGTGCATCCCAAGGGGAATTACTCCTCTTGCCTTTCACCTTGCCAGCACCGACGATGAGGAGGCAGATACCCTCAGCAGACAGATGTTAACAACCCATAAATGGGAGTTAGCTTGCCAAGTATGTCATCATCTTTTTCAACTATGGGGTCTTCCAGACATAGAACTTTTTGCCACGCATACCAGTCTGCAAGACGTATTGCTCCCGAGTGGGCATCAGTCCGGATTCAGTAGGGGTCTCTTTGATGGTCCCATGGACAGACAGATTCTTCTACACATTTCCCCCGATACCACTTATTACAAGGTCTTTAGCCAAGATCAATCATGACGATGCTCGGGGAATTCTCGTCACTCCCTGGTGGCCTCGCCAACCGTGGTTCCCCACCATTCTTCGCCTCTCCAACAATACTTTCCAGCGGCTCCTTCGCATACCTCATCTTCTAACTCAACAAGATGGAGCAGTGTGGCATCCGGACCTTCATTCGCTCAAACTGACGGCCTGACTGATCCAATAAATCCTACTACTTCTTCGGTACCAACAATCTTGTCAGATTCAACAACGACCCAGCAGCATCCTGCCACAGCTGCATCTTTGTCCCCAATACTGATAACTGCTTCATCGAATCTGAGCGCTCTACACCCTGATATTCAGTTCATTCTTCAGTCTGCTCTAAGACCTATGACTCACTGATCATATGCGGCTAAATGGAGACGCTTTACCTCATTCGCTGAAGCCAATCATTTCACCGCTCACTCTGCTTGTATTGAGAATATTCTCCAATTTTTATTATCTTTACACCAGACTGGACTTAAACCTTTGTCAATTAAGGTTTACATTGCAGCGGTTTTTTTACTACGGTGGCCAAGTTTCTGGCTCATTGATATTCTCCAATGTCTTTATCTGTCGCTTTCTCAGAGAATTACAGATCTTCAACCGCCGGTTAAATCAGTCGTCCCGACATGGAGCCTTTCTGTCATCTTACAAGTGCTCACCAAACCTCCTTTCGAGCCTTTGGCCACTACCAATCTACGTCTGTTGCCTTGGAAGACTGCTTTCCTTGTTGCAATCACATCAGCTAGGAGAGCCAGTGAACTTTTGTGCTCTCCATATTGATCCTCCTTAACTTAATTTTCATAAGGAGAAAGTCGTTTTACGTACCAATCCTATGTTCCTCCCAAAGGTTGTTTCACCATTCCATGTCAATCAGGACATTGTCTTACCGGCATTCTTCTCTACACCATCTACTCCAGTAGAGCATTCATTATACTCCCTCGACGTCCGTCACTGTCTCACCTTTTACCAATCTCAGACTGAATCCTTTTGCAACACGAAACGTCTATTCATCAAGTATTCTGACCATGACAAGGGCTCCCCGATCGAGTCCCAAAGACATTCTAAATTGATCATCCAGACCATTGAACTCGCTTATCAACTCTCCAAGTTAGAGTTGCCTGTAATGCCCAGAGGTCATTCTACAAGGACTGTTGCAGCATCCTCTGCCTTCTCTGTTGGCATCCTGCTGCATGACATTTGCAAGGCGGCCACCTGAACTACCCCTTGCACATTTGCCAAACATGGTCTAGATGTTCGTATCAGACGGGATTGCTCCTTTGATCGCACAGTCCTCTCTTCCATTCTTCAATGACGACAGTGTCCCACCTCCGGGTGTGGTAAGCTTGTTAATCACCCATATGTGTGATGCACAGAGGCCACGATGAAGAAAGGCAGGTTGCTCACCTGTAACTGTCATTCTTCGAGTGGCCATCTGTGCATTCACACAACCCACCCACCGGCCCCACTTGGTGTCGGTGACTGGGTTTTAAAGTACCATTTTTCTATTACTATGGCCTCATGTATTATATACTTACCTTGTATGTCTCCTTTGAGTTCACTTCAATCTGACATAAATGTGTAATAATTTTTGCTTCCACTTGGGGCCGAATGGTGGGTCTTAAGTAGACGGGGGAAATGGCGGGCACTCTGGCTTCTTATACTGAGGGGCGGGGAGGGGAGGTGCAGAGTTCCCACCAAAACCATTAAGCTTTTGAATCTTCCTGGCTACAGGCACTGCGCAGGCACAGCACGCATATGTGTGAATGCACAGATGGCCACTCGAAGAATGACAGTTACAGGTGAGCAACCTGCCTTTCTTCTGCTCCATCATCCCCCAATGGGTGCTGCATTGCCAACCGTGCAACAGTTCACAGCAAAGAACCAGCTTGTGGCAACCTGCCATTTTAATTTTCTAAGAATGACCCTGAGCCCTTGTGAAGCCCAGAGCCAAAATAATACTGATAATGATGTAGCATCCTAAGGCACAGAAGACCTCAGCAGGTTAGGAAGTAATATTCTAACAACTGAATTAGTCATGTTGTGATTGCAGAGGCGGCCATCCGTACCTGACAGGTCTTGCAGTAGCTGGTGGTGCATATTACCTAGGCCTGGAAGGAGCCATTATAGGACCTATACTCCTGTGTATACTTGTGGTTGCCTCCAATATCTACAGTGCTATGCTTGTGAGCCCAACAAATTCTTCACCCACCCCATCACAGATACATTGGCCATTGCAAATATACCGGTAAGTTGCTGGAATAGTTATCATAAATTGTTGCCTTTTTTAAAAAAAACATGTATTGGGAGTTTTTATCAACAAAAATATTTATGTATTATATTTATATTTATAAATATTTATATTTTCCATTATCTTTAATAATAAAAAGAGAACTTATAAGATCTGTATAGGACAATAATTCCATTAGCCCAATAAAGATAATTTCTCTAATACAAATACAGATATGTTCTTAATATAGATTTCAGCATTTTTTTCATGGCCAACATTGTTGCCTTGCCTTTTGTGTGTCTTGGAGAATAAATATTTCTTTATTTCTTCCTGTGAAAGTTGAAAAATTCTTTTGTTTACTTCTGCTCAAAACAAAGTTTTGCTGTTTTTCTTCCCTTGTAGGCCATCTAGAGAAAGTCCTGAGGAACGCAAACTGGCCACAGCATGACACACATACACACAGTATTTAATAAATGTCTTAAAATGAACTCGGGCTTCATCTGTGAACATGGAGCTCAGGAGAGCAGTGGCCTTTGAACCCATCTCCAGCTGTGCCTAATGACAGCTTTCACAGATGCAGCATTTGCTTAAGAGCATACCCACACCTTCATTGCCATAGGTCATTAGATACATTGCCTTTGCAAGTTAAAGTGACTTCTGCCTGCTTGCTTATTTCTCAGACCTAGGATTTGGGTACTTGGATTACAAAAGTATTTCACTCCCTAAAAACCTTGTGTCAGGTTTTGTTTACTTGAATACAGGTTGTAGCCCTGTTGAATTTCTGAGTATTTATATTTTTTGTTTTATAAATAATTAGATTTTAGATGTCAAAGTTTCACATAGTTTATTCTTAGAATACTTTGTCTCTAGAACATGCATATTTATATAGGTGTTAACCCATTTAACTCTTACCTGCTAATGTTCAAGTTGTTTTGCACGGCTGCTGAAAGGAATTCATATTGCAACTTTTATGCTCACCTTTCCGAATAGATTACACTGACTATTAATATGCCAGCAATATTGATCTTGTCAAGATGCTATATTATTAACAGATACGTAAAGGATGTGTAGGATTATTTCTGTTTGACTTGAGCAGTATGTTTATTCAAAATATTCAAAATTGTGTGAGCTAATCTCAATTTCACAAATAGCTATGCTGATATATTTGAAAGATCCATAAGTCAAAAAAGAATGTACTGAAAATAATTTGTGTGGATTTTTCATGGTGCTGAAATATCATCAGCGAAATACAGCATTGGAATGATATATCTTGTTCTTACTATTTTTTGAAGACTTGAGTGCTATTAACACTAGCTTTTCAAGAGGTATTCACAAAATAAATCAGGATAGAAAAAGAACTGTCTTCCACATATTATTTGGGCATATTACTAAGGAACGTGACTGTCAGATTTTAAATGTCTGTATGCTAAACTGTATAGCAAGAGATATGTTTTGTGCTGTCTATAAGTTCTTGACATGAAATAATGATTTGTTGGTATCAAAGAAAATGATAATTTTAGCAAATGTTGAGGTGAGGAATTAAGCACACTGGAGATAATTGTCTAGTGAAGGGGTTTAAGGCAAAGCTGCCAGGAAGCACTTTTGATGGTTATACTTGTTTTAAACAAAATAAACCACAATGTCACCAAAGTCTAAATTCAGTTTTATCCTAAGTTTCTAGATTTGCATCACACACCTACCACATGCATGATGCTTCCATAGATTCCAGTATACAAATTTGTCAATATCAGGCTATCCAGTAACTAAAGGATTTGATCCTATCCATATTACAGAGGTTAGAAAGCAACTTTATTATGAGAGTGTATATCTGTGCTTCTGTTTTGTTTTCACATGAAATATTAACAGTTCTTCATCATGGTCTCTGTGCTTCATACGGGTGCTGTGCCTGCACAGTACCTCGCTCTGGAAGATATCTCTAGTTTAGCCTAGAATTTAACATGGAGCCCCGCCCCATCCCTCCTTCTATATTAGGGTGGGCTCCCTTCATTTTGACAGCTCACTTTCAACTGCCATTTGCCAGTGCATTGGGATCTATAGCATTTGTTCTTTGCCTACTATCAAATTTTTTGAACTTTCCTATATTGTCCCACTCTTGTGATCTTATTTCTAATTTCTATTTTCTCAGTACCCTTCTACAACCTATCGGAGCCCCTTCCACCTCTCCCCACATCTCTCTCTCCCCTCATTATATATATATATTGTGTTTCTCTATATCCCTGTTGATTATATCTTCTCCTGATGTTGCTCAGCAAAACGGTTTTCCAAAAGTGTGCACACTGCAGATTTAAAATGCCATCCTCTGGTGGACATTCTCTATGCCTATTTTGCCTTGGCGAAGAACACCAAGTGGATAAGTGTAAGCACTGCCAGGCATTTACTAAAGAGGTGCATAGAAATAAAGCTGGTAGGCTCCAGATGAAGATGTGGGATTGGGCTCTCAGCGGGATGAGCAAAGTGACCAAGGAAGGAGGTCAGCCTGCATTGACCTCAAAGGAAACCTTGAGGAAGCACCCTCCCACTGGCACCTCTGAGAAAACAGATCTCCCAGTTGATCAGGGAGATCTGGAGATTCCCAGAAAAAGGAAGTAAAAAGTTAAGCATCTCCGTTCCAAGACCTCAGAACCGAAGAAAAAGACCAAAGGCCACAAGCATTGTGTCATTGTTCCAGTCCAAAGGAAGGTTCTCTGTCCGTGAGGGCAATGACTGTGCAGCCTTCTGGACTGGCATCTCCTCAAGATAATCTGATCCAATCATCAACGGTTCCAACCTCTCTGATCCAATACTATCAGATGGTACAGATCAGGAGTCACTCGCCTATTATGATGCTAAGTGACCTCAGCCGGCAGATGGAAAGACCTGCACCTGGCTCATTCTCGAATGGTAAAATAAGGGAATCACCTAACCTTCCACGGGAGAGAACTGCTCCCCTTTGTCAGGAGCCAGACCCTATACCATCGATGCCAGTTCTCTCCTATGGTCCACCTTCTGCTCACACTTCACTGATCTCATCTCACAGATTGGTTCCACTAGATCTATTCCAATATCGACATCCTGGAGGTCACTTCTGGTACCCACCTCCAAGACATTATTACCAAGATTATCCATGAAAACTGGCAGCTGATCCTTGCTACACCTGGTTACCTCCATCTACAGCAATGCGCTGGACCTCAGAGAGCTCTACAGCAAGAGGAAGGTGAACCCAGCACATCTCACTGGGAAAGGCATGAAAGATCTCCATCTCCTCACACCAACTCTACTGATAGGGACTATGTGGACTCACAGCTCAGAGCTGGCCGAGCCTGTCTCAATTTCCCTGGATGGCATGGTCTCAGCTCAGGGTAAGGGATCCCCTGGAGAGAGCCTAGAGCAATTCTTGGAGCAGGTCCTCCGAATGGCCAAGTCCCTCGGTGTCCCAGTCTAACAGGCAACTGACTGAGGATATCGTCTACTTGATCCATTCAGAGGACTTGGTTCCAATCACCATACCATTTATACCTGCTCTGGTGAAGGCATTGAAAGACCCCTGGGAAACTCCTAATCACTCTCATCCAACATCCCGTTGTCTCAAGGGAATGTATAGGGTCCAGGAACAAGACCGTTTCTGCTCCACCATCCTCACCTAAACTCCATGATTGTTGAGTCAACACAGGGTGAACACCAGTGTGACCACTCCACACTGACGGGCAGGGAAGGCTGTCTCTTCGATGTGATGGTGTGCTGTATTCCACGATGGGCCTGGGCCTCTGCATATTGAATTACAAAGTGATGATGGGGAGGTACCAGGCTTTTCTATGGCAAAAGATGGATCCTCTGGTGACCTTCCTTTTGGACCAGCACAGGAAACTCACCAGATTCTTCCTAGCAGAGGGCATGCAATTGTCCAAACAACAAATTGCTATGGCTCTCCACCATGTCGACTGCCATTCTAGTCCTAGTTGGTGCAGTGGCCTTCCGTCGACATGCATGGCTTTGGGCAATGAATCTTCCTCAGGAGATATGGTCCTGGATAGAGGCGATGCCATTTGACAGAGAAGGCCTCTTTCATGCCTGGGTTGATGAGAGGTTGGACACCATACAGAAGGCAAGGGTGACGGCTCACAAGATGGCAATCTGCTTCCACCCTACAAGACAAGGTAAGTGGCCATGGAACCGACCCCTTCCATATTATTACCAGCCTGGCAGACAACTTGGCAACCAAGGTCGTCACTACGCCAACTGTCCCCAGGGTCACTCACGTAGAAGGGACTCCTTTAGGCCCCAACAGTCCAAGAAGAGCCTGGAGGGGGATAAAAGACAGCATTGACAGGACACCCGAACCAGTCTCCCATTGTCAACAAACCACCAGTTCAGGAACCTCTTAAGCCATCACATACCCACTTGGGAGTCCTGCACATCTGATTGGTGGGTGCTATCTGTCATTAGGGATGGCTATAAAATCAACACCCTACCGCCTCTTGCATCGGTATGCATGACCTTTCCATCTCTGGTTTTGATGGAAGAGATCACAACCTTACTAGCAAATGGGGCAATCCACCTGGTGCAGCAATCTGATCTCAAACATGTGTTCTACTCTCAAAAATTCACAGTACCAAAAAGAGATGAGGGTCAACGACCCATATTGGACTTACGAAGAGTAAACCACTGTATCTCCCATGAAACGTTTTGTATGGTTTCTCTTCACTCAGTGATGCCTCTCCTATAGGATGGAGACTGCTTCACCTCTATAGATTTGAAAGATGCTTACTTTCACATTGCTTTACATCCTGACTATCAACACGACCTACGATTTAAGATCAGAATGGACTCTTATGAATTTGTATTGTTACCATTTGGACTATCAACTGTTCTGAAGGTATTCTCCAAATGTATGGCACCAGTTTGTGCCTATTTAAGACTTAGAGGCATATACGTCTACCCCTACCTTGATGAATATTTGATTGTGGCAGATTCCAAAGAAGTTCTAACTCAGTAAATGTCGTGAAAGGGTTGTATAAACATTCAGCTCTCCACAGAGCAATAAAACTAAAGTCCTTTAATGTTAATTGTCTACAAGATTTACGATACTATAGATAAGTTCCCTAATAGTGGTCCCTGCAGAACAGATGTCAGTCCTATAATGGCTTCTCTTTCTGAGCCCACGTGGGATCATTCTCCCAAGTCACGCCTTTCTTCTCTCTTACGTTGTCTACTTTGTATTTGTTCAAATCTGCGTAAAAGACGTCTGTTTTCAGCTTTTGAGAAATCTATGACACCTATAGTGTCTTCTGTTTCCGGCTCAGGGAGATCAGCGTCAGGAGGGGAGGAGGCAGTTTGCTCTGCCTCTTTCTCATGACTCTCTGTCTCTGATAAAGGTCCAGGCATTTGCTCAATGAGCTGGGGCTCAGGGGAAGACGCAATAGCTGTTTCAGCTGCTCCGGCATTGGGTTGTGGGGGCGACTCTTGGGTGCAGGGTGCCAAGTGCAAGGTCTCCTCGCGAGTCACTGTTTCTGTCAGGGCTTCATGCACAACAGTAAATGATACCTGCCTTACTTTGAAGAACCTGGAAATCTTCGAAACCTGAGGGTGGCCATCAGTAGAACTCTTTGCCATGGAACGGAACGCAATCTGCAAGCACTCTTGGTCTGTGGTAACCCCCCTCATAATCAAACATGCAGCCAGGGCATGGCTCGTCACGGGTAAAAGAAAGCATGATCAGGGTGTCCTGTTCGCATGAACAAGAACAGGAACCCCAACGAATGTGCACGCTACGCAAGGATGAAAAAGTAGGCTACGCTCAAGCATAACCGCCAGCGTCACGCCCTTGTAACCTTGCTTGCTTGCCTTAGCATGGGAAAGGTGCAAAATGTGCACATGTAACTCAGTGGGGTTCCCCATTGTCCGCTGTCATTCAAGCACCTGCATAGCTGTAAAAGAGTATAAAAATAGCTGTATTCGTCTGCTCGGCACCGCACTCTAATGAGTGATGGTCCCTGCCGGCAGGTAAATCTCTCTCGATAATTCCAACCAGTCTCTGGTCTTGTCCGTAACACCGCGGCATACAACATTTGGAGGCCCCAGCGAGATCCCGAGACTACCGGTTTTGCGTCCCCCCCCCCCCCGAAACCAGGAACGGGCCCATAGGCATTTTTTTTTGCCTCTACCCCGGGTCGGTGGGACGTCTGACTTGCCGAGAGAGAAATTACCGGTAAGTGCACACGGTGGTTACCCGCCATCTGTTCTGAATATCTGCAGCTCCGGTATTGGAAAGAAAAGCCTGCTGGACGCAGTGCAAGGGCTACTTTCCGGTCTGGGGCATGACGTCGCTTCCGGCCTCAGTTCCTGTTAGGTTGTGCATCTGTTTAGATCGTCCGTCTTGTCTGTCTTGTTGCCGTCTATCGTCTGTCTTGTTGATGTTTTGTCGTCTGTTTTATTGATCTGACCCTTGAGTAATCTTTTTTTCAGGACTGGAAAATGGGGCAGGGCCAGTACGTCCCGACCACCCCTTTGCAATGTCTTCTGAATAACTTTTCTGATATCTTTAAAAGGGCTTCAGGATTCGGGGTCTCCGTCAAGCCAGGAACCCTCCGGACCCTTTGTGAATTAGAATGGACCACTTTTGACGTGGGATGGCCCTCAGAGGGCTCTTTTGATTTGATCTTGATTAGGAACGTTGAGGCTGTGATCCTTGGGAGTCCCGGACACCCAGATCAGATTCCATATATAGAGACATGGCTGGATATCGCCAAGGCGAGACCTGGTTACATTAAACGGTGTCAACGGAAACTCCCAGGATCCACATGCCCTTCTCTCCTTACGGTTAAAAAGGGAGGAGAACCCCGCGTCAGATTGCCCCTCACCCCATCCACGAAACCCCGCATCCTCACGGATGATCAGACGGGGCCGGAAGACGCCCTGGACACATGGACACAACCACCTCCCTATGCCCCGAATTCCCAGGCTTCCGGGAGCCCGCCCCACACTTCCCCCAGTCCGTCCCGAACGCGGAGTGGACTTCCGTATGGCCCCCGTCCATCTGTCCCTCCGAAGTCTACTCTGCCCTTGCCATCCTCTGGCCACGGGGACAGACGGGTGTCGTCGGCCTCCCCCGATCCCGGCCCTGAGCCCGCCACTCTATTGCCCCTCCGGGAGCTTGCCCCCGCACAGGGGACGAGCCGCCCGTTTATGGTCTATGTCCCTTTCTCTACAAGTGACCTGTATAACTGGAAGCTACAGAATCCTCCTTTCTCTGAAAAACCACAAGGTTTAATCTCGTTGTTAGAAACGATCTTTCACACCCACCGCCCTACTTGGGACGACTGCTAGCAACTCTTGCAGGTTCTTTTTACTTCCGAGGAGTGCGATCGGATTCACCTCGAGGCTTGGAAGCAGATTTTTGGCACAGGTGGTCAACCCACCACTGACCCGGTTATTCTGGAAACGAGCCTCCCAACCCAACGACCCAACTGGGATCCGAATACGGTTGCTGGGGAAGGAGCTCTGAACCGGTACCGCCAACTTCTTCTCCAGGGTCTCCGCGGCGCAGCGCGGAACCCTACTAATTTGTCTAAAGTAAGTGAGATAGTTCAGAGCCCCCGGGAATCCCCCGCCGCTTTCTTGGAACGCCTACTTGACGCATATAGGCAATACACACCTATAGACCCACGAGCGCCCGAAAACGCGCGGGCAATTAACATAGCCTTTGTTACACAATCGGCACCAGACATTAGGAAAAAGATTCAAAAGCTAGACGGGTTCGAAGGGAAAAACCTCAGTGAACTAGTTGAGATAGCTCAGAAGGTTTTTAATAATCGTGAGGATCCAGAAGTTGCAGGCACAAAGAAATTAACCAGAGTCGTCTTGGCAACCATGCAGGAAGCTAGCGATAGGAATCGAGGGGCTCCACGGAGGAATGGGGGTCTCCCCCGCCTAGAAAAAGATCAATGCGCCTACTGCAAGGAGAGGGGCCACTGGAAAAGCGAGTGTCCAGTCTTCCTTCCACTTGAGGAAGACTGAAGGGGCCAGGGCTCTGTCAATTTAGGCCCCCAAGAGCCCTTGGTAACCTTAGCTGTGGGGGGCCGCCCGACCACCTTCCTGGTAGATATTGGGGCAGCCCACTCGGTTCTCTGGGAGGGGGTCGGCCGTCTAACTGAAGAAAAGACTCAGATCATAGGGGCAACGGGGCGACCCAGGGCGTACCCTTGGACTTCAGCTCACGTAACTGATCTGGGAAAAGGGACTATAACTCATTCCTTCTTGGTAATCCCCGAATGCCCCTTCCCCCTCCTGGGGCAAGACCTCTTAAGGAAACTGCGAGCCTCGGTGTCGTTCCAAGAGGACGGCACCCACCTCAGCCTAGGTTCTCCGCAGCCTGCTGCCCTTCTGCTCACTGTACCCTTGCAAGACGAGTATCTCTTCTTCGAAAGTCAGGCGCCAGAAAGCCCCTCTGAGGCTTTAAAAGAGCTCCAAAAAGAAATTCCAGGAGTATGGGCCGAAAACAACCCTCCTGGTCTGGCGGCTCATCAGCCACCCGTTGTGGTACAGGTCAGTAGCTCGGCTACCCCATTCCAGAAACCCCAATACCCCATTCCAGCCAGGGCGAAGATAGGAATACGTAAGTATATACAGAGGCTGTTGGAAGCAGGAATTTTAGTATCCTGCAGGTCGCCATGGAACACCCCGCTGTTACCAGTCAAAAAGCCCAGCACCGAGGACTACCGGCCAGTTCAGGACTTACGTGAGGTAAACGCCCAGGTAGAGACTGTCCACCCAACTATCCCAAACCCTTACACCCTACTCAGCCAGCTGCCACCAGACCGGGAATGGTACTCGGTCTTGGACTTAAAAGACGCTTTCTTTTGCATACCGCTGGCCCCAGTGAGCCAGCCTCTTTTTGCCTTTGAGTGGACGGATCTGGACCAGGGATTCTCGGGTCAACTTACGTGGACCAGGCTGCCGCAGGGGTTTAAGAACTCCCCTACCCTCTTTGATGAAGCTCTGAGTAGAGACCTTTCCCCTTTCCGGGAAACCCATTCTGAGGTTACCCTTTTGCAGTATGTGGATGACTTGCTTTTGGCGGTGGAGTCCGCACCTGCATGCCTGCAGGCGACTAGAGACCTCCTGGCCGCCCTGGGCTCCATGGGATATCGGGTTTCAATAAAGAAGGCACAGATCTGTAGTCAGAGGGTGACCTATTTGGGATACAATCTAAGCGGGGGAAAACGGACACTGTCAGCCAGCCGAGTCCGAGCAATCCAGAATATTCCCACGCCTACGACTAAACGACAAGTCAGAGAATTCCTGGGCACGGTAAGGTACTGCTGGCTGTGGATCCCCGGCTTTGCCGAGATAGCAAAACCCCTCTACACCAGCACGGGAGGAAAAGGTGACTCCCCCATGTGGACTGAGATTAAGCAATCGGCGTTTCAGGCTCTTAAAAAGGCTATTACCACGGCCCCCGCTCTAGCCCTACCCGACCTTAAGAAACCCTTCGAACTCTTTGTGGCTGAGGCTCGAGGTATAGCAAAAGGAGTTTTAACCCAGACTTTGGGCCCATGGAGGCGGCCGGTTGCATATTTGTTGAAACGACTAGACCCAGTGGCGGCGGGGTGGCCCACTTGCATGAGAGCAATTGCCGCGACAGCGGTATTGGTGAAAGAGGCCAAGAAACTGACACTGGGCCAGGACCTCCAAGTCATTGGGGCACACGCCGTGGAAACCCTCCTCCGCAGTCCACCGGATCGATGGATCTCCAACGCCCGAGTGACTCAATACCAGGTACTTTTATTGGACCCCCCACGGGTCACTTTTTCCAGGGCAGCGGTCCTTAATCCGGCGACCCTACTGCCAGACGATCAACACGGGAGTCCCACACATGATTGTGCTGAGGTCCTCGACACCCTGACCGGCACCAGACCAGACCTGACGGACATCCCGCTAGGGCAGCCAGCCCTCAATTTGTTTACAGACGGGAGCAGTTTCGTCAAGGACGGGATTCGCTTTGCAGGAGCAGCGGTGGTCACCAGTTCTGAGGTAATATGGGCACAGGCTCTAGGGCATGGCACGTCAGCACAAAAAGCAGAACTTGTCGCCCTGACACAGGCACTCCGGTGGGGGAAGGGAAAAGCTCTCAACATTTATACGGACAGCCGATACGCTTTCGCCACGGCTCATGTCCATGGAGCATTGTATAAGGAACGAGGGCTGCTAACCTCTGGAGGGAAGGACATTAAGAATGCAAACGAAATTATGTCTCTCTTAGAAGCCCTCTGGCTGCCTGAATGAATAGCTATAATTCATTGCCCTGGGCATCAACAGGACGGCTCGGCGGTCTCGGAGGGAAATAACTTCGCTGATAGAACCGCAAAGGAGGCTGCCCTAAGACCAGTAGGGCCCCTCGAAATTCTTCTGGTTCAGATGCCGCCCCAGGCTCTCTCAGACCGACCGACCTACTCGAAGGAGGATATCGAGCGGGGCAGGGAGTTGCGGTGCTCTGAGACTGAGACGGGATGGCTGAAGCACCCCGATGGAAGAATCTTTCTCCCCCAAGCACTGGGACGAGATCTTCTTCTACAGACCCATCGAGCCACACACTTGGGGATGGCCCGACTCTGTCAGCTATTTAGACCTCATTTCTACCTGCCCGGACTTTCAGCTCTGGCCGATTCCATAACCTCCGGGTGCGCCTCCTGCGCGCGAGTTAACGCTGGCCCCAGCTGGCCCCCCACCGCCCCGGGCATCCGCCATCGCGGATCCCAGCCGGGAGAACACTGGGAAATAGACTTCACTGAGGTAAAACCCACCCAAGGTAGGTATCGCTATTTACTGGTCTTCATCGACACCCATTCCGGGTGGGTGGAAGTGTTCCCTACGAAGGGAGAGACAGCCCTGATTGTTGCCCGGACTCTCCTGCATCAACTTCTACCCAGATTCGGCGTACCCCTAGCTCTAGGTTCAGATAATGGTCCGGCGTTCATCGCCCAAACTTCCAAATTGGTAGCCAAAGCTCTGGGGATTGATTGGAAACTGCATTGTGTGTATAGACTGCAGAGCTCAGGACAGGTAGAGAGGATGAATAGAACGCTAAAGGAAACCTTAACAAAATACACTCTTGAAGTTGGCGGCCCCTGGACGGACCTCCTTCTGTTTGCCCTCCTACGCACGTGATGCTCCCCCTATAAGAACGGTTTCACCCCCTTCGAAATTGTGTTCGGGCAAGCACCTCCCCTGCTACCCCGTCTGGTGGAGGAGAGGCGCGCCGAGTTGTCTAACCACAACTTGCTTGAGTCCTTGCAGGCCCTCGATTGCGTCCGGCACGATATTCGCCGACAGGTTCAGTCCAACAAAGGCGGGACTACTAAGGCTCAGGACCCCGCGCCCGACCATCCCCCACGCGTAAACCCAGGAGATTGGGTCTGGCTAAAGAACTTTCACCCTGTCACCCTAGGTGCCCGGTGGCTAGGACCCTTCCAGGTGATCCTCTCCACTCCCACAGCGGTTAGACTGGCCGAAAAACCCCACTGGTTCCACGTAACACAGATAAAGCCTGCCGCGCCGGCCATCTCGGAACAATGGACGGCACACCAAACCAGAGATCCTCTGTGAGTCAAGTTAAAAAGAGTCTCCTCCCCCTCTTCCCAGCAGCCCTCCTGATTCTTCTCGCCCGCCCAGTAGGCTATCCCCTCCCAAACCCACACCAGCCACTCACCATGGAATGGACATTGCAGACTGATTGGCAGACCTCCCTACCAGTAGCAACCATCCTGACTCACACCCACGATACCTCCCCGGACTTCCGCATAGATCTCTGCCAACTCCTTCCGCCTGGGTGGGCCAAGCCAGGCATCTGGGGTTTTGGATGCGGAACTGATATCTTGGAAAGGGGACTGTCGGAGAAGCAATATTATGGCTGTCCATCGGATGGGAGCCCCGATTGCGGTGACACGCCCAACTTCTACTGCGCCCGATGGGGTTGCGAGACTTTCGCTACCTGGTTGGAAGGCCAAAATAAGGATCCATGGCTCGCAGTGAAAAGGGTACACGCTGCTCAGGTGGGGACCGGCAGACATAACCCCCTGAGCCTCAAGATCAAGCGAGGCGGAGAAGATTCTTGGGTAAAAGGTAAAACCTGGGGCCTGCGCTTGAATCTGTATGGTCCTGATCTGGGCATACTTCTCACGATTCAGAAACGGGTTATCTCACGACCCTGGGGCCCGGTGGGACCCAACCAGGCCCTCCCTCACCCTCAGGTAGAGGCCCCCACCCCCACTCACCGCATCCCTGACCCTCGCACACATCGTGCTCCAGCCCGGGCTGCTAGTCGACCGTCATCCAGCCGCTCAGTTGCATTAGTGTCCGCAGTTTTTGAAGTCCTCAACGGAACCAACCCAAACATTACCGAGACATGTTGGTTATGCCTGAGTCCACAGCCACCTTTTTATAATGGAGTAGGAGTGAATGTCTCTTTTTCCAACTTTGCTAATATCTCCTACTCGGAAAATTATGGGAGCGCCCGCCCGTGGGGCCTCCACCCCTCTATAACATTAGAAGAGTTCTCAGGTCAAGGGACCTGTGTCACGGGCCCTGGTGGACCCCGCAAGGATCCACGATGTGCGGCTACCTTACTTCTCACCCCCACAGCCCGCCCCTATCTCCTGGCAGCCCCGAATGGGACTCTTTTCGCTTGCCGATCCTCCACCCTTTTTCTAACCCCCCTCAGTCCTGCGGCTGCGCAAGCTCTTCAGCCGGATCTTTGTATTCTGACTCTAGTACTCCCAAAGGTTTTTCTCGCCAACGGAGAGATGACCCCCGCGGCTGCTTCCCCGGACTCACGCATCCGGCGCGCTGTACCTCTCCTCGCTCCTCTTTTAGCTGGGCTGGGAATCGCAGGCTCCGCGGCTGTCGGGGCTGGAGCTTTGATAAAAGGCAGCCAGGACATATTCCACCTCTCTGAACAAGTCGATAAAGACTTGCGAGAGCTTCACGGCTCCATCAAGTTTTTGGAGGACTCCCTTGACTCCCTCGCCGAGGTGGCCCTCCAAAACAGGAGGGGATTAGATTTACTTTTGCTAAAGCAAGGCGGCTTATGCGCTGCCTTGGATGAGAAATGCTGCTTCTATGCAAATCACTCAGGCATCATCCGTAACAGCCTAGACTTAGTCAAAGCCCGCCTGGAGGACCAGGAAAGGCGCCGCCAGGAGGGTTCCAACTGGTATCAGCGCCTCTTCAACTGGTCCCCCTGGTTGACCAGCCTGCTCTCTTCCCTTGCAGGACCCTTTTTAGGGTTGTTATTTTTCTGTACTTTCGGCCCCCTCCTGCTCCGTTGGATTACCCGCCTTGTCAAGCAGCGCATTGACGCTGTGAAAATACTGGCACTTCAGGCCAGAGCCAGGGTGTGGGCTGAAAGCAGCATCCGCTAGCGGCTCACTGGCTCGATGATTCGATTCCCCAAGAAGACCAGTAGGGAATGTGGTAACCCCCCTCATAATCGAACATGCAGCCAGGGCATGGCTCGTCATGGGTAAAAGAAAGCATGATCAGGGTGTCCTGTTCGCGTGAACAAGAACAGGAACCCCAACGAATGTGCACGCTACGCAAGGATGAAAACAAAGTAGGCTACGCTTAAGCATAACCGCCAGCATCACGCCCTTGTAACCTCGCTTGCTTGCCTTAGCACGGGAAAGGTGCAAAATGTGCAAATGTAACTCAGTGGGGCTCAAGAGCAAGAATTGGGCAAAGATTGAAGGGAGACACTTTCTGCATGCAATGGAACAGTTCTTTTATGCCTTCCCTCCGTTCCCCCTTATCACAAGAATCATCACAAAGATGAGGGCAGACAACACACGGGCCATCCTGATCTCCCTGTGGTGGCCCAGACAACCATGGTACCCATCGTTGCTACACCTGTCCAACAAGGTCTACAAACATCTACCTCAGGCACCGTACTTATTAACCTAGAACCAGGGAAAGATTGTTCATCCCGAGATTCACACCCTCTATTTAACTGCCTGATTGATTCTATAAATACACTCCCGGCACCAGACCATGCCGTTCTGATCTCACCATCGGCAATATTGTTATCTCAGTCATGTCTCTAACTGCCAACAGCAAACTTCAGAACCATACCGTATTGAATCTGACACACTCAGATCCGATACCCCCTAGTTCTGTTCCGACTACCTTGTTCTCCACTGAGCTGGAACCAACAGACTTGAACTTGACACAATTGATTCTGACAAGAACGCTGACTGTGGACTCTACTCTCAATTACCTCATATCAACCACACCGGATCTAGATCCTGCCATCCAACAGATCCTCACAACCTCCTAGAAACCTAACAATAGAACATCCTATACTGTGAAACGGACAAAGTTTAAGCAATTTGCCAATCTCCATTTTTTCAATCCCTCTTTGGCTTCAATTGCTTATATTCTGCAATTTTTGCATGCCTTGCAGAAATCTGGTCTAAAACCCACTTCAATACGGGTGTATTTGTCTGCAATCTCTGGAATACATGGAATGATTGACGGGCACACAATTTTCTCTCATCCCCTCTCTTGAACCGTCAACCTCCAGCTCGACCTGGGGTTCCACCCTGGAGCCTCTTGGTAGTGCTACATGCGCTAACAAAGCCTCTGTTTGAGCCGTTAGACCTTCAGCTCTTATCTTAGAATGTCTCCTTTCTGGTGGCCATAAGCTCAGCTTGGAGAGCAAGCGAACTCTGCGCACTGCAGGTGGACTCTCCATACCTTACGTTCCACAGAGACAAGGTCGTGTTACAGACTGATCCATCCTTTCTTCCCAAGGTGTCCTCATTGTTCCACATCAGTCAGGAGATAGCCTTACTAGCCTTCTTTCCTTCCCCTGCAACGGACATTGAAAAGGCCCTGCACATTCTCGACTTTCATAGAGCACTATCATTTTATCGGTTCCAAACAAAAGGTATATGAAAGACAGATAATCTCTTCGTGAAATATGTGGACTACTGTAAAGGAGACCCAGTCAGACCCCAGCAATTAGCGATTAGCCCACTGGATAGTCAAGACCACCAAATTGGCATACCAGCTTTCCTCCTCACAACTACCAGACAGTCCAAGGGCACAGTCTACAAGGGCTATATTGACTCCCACTGTGTTCCAAGTGGGACTTCCAATTGAAGAACTATACAAAGCAGCAACTTGGTCAACGCTGTTAAGATTTATTAAACACTACAAATTTTACATCAAAGCGAGGAAGGACTGCTCCTATAGAAAGGCAATACTCTCCTCCATACTGCAGTATCTAACATCTAGTCACCCTTATGTGTGATGCACAGACACCCGGATGAAGAAATGCAGGTTGCATACGTGTAACTGTAGTTGTTTGAGTGGTCATCTATGCATTCACACAACCCACCCACCGGTCCCGTGTCAGTGTCGGTGGTTAAAGGCATGACCTATATACCCTTTCCTTAGATTTATTCCATACATGTAACTACACTGGATGCAAACGCCTGTCTCAAGGAACTGTCAAAGTGGCGGGAGCCCACCCTTACATACAGGGAGGGTCCTGTTACAGGCAATCTCCCCACCCTTCAAACCATGTTTGGTACTGTCCTTCGCAACCTGGAGGACATCTCAAAAATGGGCAGGCTGTTAATGATGTTGTGGGCAACTGGGGGAGGGGTGTTTAGCTAACTTTTTGCTTTCTGTCTTCTTGCCCATCCAACAGACCTAATGATCCTGGGGTTTAACTGCAGGCCCCCCAGGACCTACTTTGAATGAATACAGTGTCTGTTTAGTGAGAAAACATTTAACAATGTTGATTTTATTTTGAGGAACATACTATCCTGACTTGTAGTACCAGCCATTGTTGGATGAAGGTGCATGTGTGTGCCTCTTCCTCTTATGAATTTACCAGTTATCATAGTTCATTCCCCAGTACCAGTACAAGTTTGGATATTCCAAACTTTGGAGATACACAGGAACTCTCCTCATCATGGGACTGAAATATGGGTATCACAGAGTTACTTCTAACAAGTTCTATCTGTCAGACATCAGTGTCCTTGCTGCCTCCACCTTCTTCTCTTCCATGTTCATGGCATAATGTTTGAGACTACTGGTATAACAAATTGTCTTGGGTCCAATCTTGGTCCCATTCTGACTAGGATGGATACTTGGAATAGTTCTTCCTCCTAAACACACTTGCTACTGCAGTGACCAATAATATGTCTGAGATTTTATTTATAGTCTTTACTTTGCTGTGTGCTTTGCTTTGCTGAACCTGTGCAGCTTTTCTTTATGACCACCCCCTGCCAAAAATGTCTTCAGGCGACCTCTGCTTCCCATGGCATCTCTGGTTCCTGAGTGAGCTATGCTACCTTCAGCATGTGTGCCTCCCAGACCCACTCCAGTTACCTCATACCCAATTATCTGACCAGCAGTTGTCTTTTCCAATGTTATCCATTACCAATATAGTCTTCCCCTTGGTCAGCTGCCAAAGACTATCTTTCAGATTCTGCATCCTGCTCCTCCATAGCTCCATCTATACTGTCTCCTGATGCCATTGGAACTCAAAACCCCTTGATCCTGCCTGAGTACCTGGCTCATTTTTTCAGCCAGATTCAATAGATGGTACAAACATTAGGCTTGGAAACTCAGCAACTGTCTCAGAGTATACAAGACTCAGACTTTGACCACACCACAATGGTATCCAGGTGGTTGCTATTTATTTCTGTGGAAGAAAGTATTTAAAGGTGTACTCTCATGTACATTTAGACAGAAAAGTGTTACAACTCCCACCATGCTGGGAGATGAAGAACATTCTTCTGTCTAAACATGCATAGGCAAAGGTGTAGTCTTGGTGAACAATCCCATCTATGCTGCAGCTGTCCAAACAGTGCGAAAGCAGACTAGGTAAGATATGTGGAGATTGAAAAGGCTAGGCTGCATCTCAGCTGATTTTTGAAGGATATAGGAAGAAATAATCCCAACAGAAAGGACAAACCCTGAAGCACAGTTCAGATGCACTGAAAATGGGGAGTGGGTGGGCAAATGGAGCAAAGGCACCATAACACGGAGCGGGGAATACCTCCCACCTGGCAATGCATTTTTCTTTGTCGTGGCCTCTGTGCATCACACATATGGGTACTGCGCCTGCGCAGTGCCTGTGGCTGGAAGATTGATAGCTAATGGTTTTTGGCGGGAAGCTCTGCTCCCCTCCCCCCTGTGGCCTATAAAGAGTGGAGCGTCCGCCATTTTGTTCAGTCTTTGCGACCGCCGTTCACTGTGCCTCGTGCCGCTTTCGACTTTCGCTTCGACTATTACCTCGTTCTCAAATTGTCCCTTATCCTAGCTTTTCCTCTCCTTGTCCCAGCTTATTATTCTGTGTAGCTTTCTCTCATTATTTCTTCTTTCAATCTATCAAAAAACAAAAATATATACTTACTCTCTTCACTATCTCTCTTTTCTTCCTCTTCTTCTGCGATGGCGCAGTGAGCGGCTTTCCGCAAATCCGTGGATTGCGGGTCAAAAATGGCACCAACTGACCCGCATGACCTATGCCTCCTCTGCCTGGGAGAGGGGCATAGGACTGATAAATGTGCGCATTGCCTGGCCTTCTCCAAGCAGGCCAGGAAGAACCACGAAAACCGGCTTCGGAGGCTCCTTTGGGATTGGGCTCTGATGCAGTCAGACCCGCTCGTTGCTGTCCCAAAACCTGGCTCCGCTTCTGTGGCCCCACCCTCACGGCCTCCGGACGAAGGTGCGTCTGCTTTGGTGGCCCCTTCTGCTTCACCTAAAAAGAAGCATGAAAAGCGGAAGCACGCCGAAGAGAAGTCGGCAGGCCATAAGAAGGCCAGAAAGGAGAAGGTCTCCAAGCCTCCAAAAAAGTCTAAGACTTTAGACCGTCCGGACCATCCCCGAAATCGGAATTCGGAACTGATGGGACCCTCGGCACCGGTGGCAGTTACGATACCGACCCCGCCCGAACCGATCCTCCAGGAGGCTGTGCAGGTTACCCCTTAAGGGTCTCCCCGCCGTTCGGTTGACCTCCCACCTGCACCCCTTCCAATTCTATGGGGTTCAATTTCCAATGGGGAAATCCAAGACTCCCCTCCTAGGGGGAGATCACTGACACCCATGCCCGCGGTGATGATGGAAACAGACATTGGCCTGCCCCCACCAGGGAGCCGGAGGAGCCGCTCAGTAGAGCAACGCCCGGAGAGTTGGCGTCGCCCTTACTACCATACTTGGGGCGATCCGCTCTCTGTAGGGTACTACCCTGCTCCCAGGGCACGATCATCTCCTCCACCCCGCGACCAACCGCGATCATTGGATTCGATGCGGGTGCCACCTTGATCCCCACAAAGTGGAAGCAGCCACTCCTTCTTGCTGGCAGAGTCGTCATCTTCGGCCCCACCCTACTACGGTGCCGATTCGGCTGACTCAGAGGTCGACTCAACCTCCCCGGACGTCGCTGTGACATCCCAGGGTCCTGCATCACCTGACAAGTCCCACATCTCCTTCGCGGAGCTGATGTCAAGACTTGTTCAGTCCCTGGACATCGACGCTGCCCAGCACCTGGGACCGTCGACGGACAAGTTTTATGACATCGTCCGTGGGGAGCAATCGACATCTATTGTCCTGCCGCTCATAACCACCTTGCGGCAGGCGATGACGCAGCCTTGGGACCTGCCATCACATCCTCAGCCGACGTCCAGGAGATATGAGTCGATGTACAGGGTTCGGGAAGAGGATATTCCCTTCCTCCTCAAACACCCGAAACCGAACTCTGCGGTCGTCGAATCCTCGCAGGGCAGAGAGGCGAGAGGACACACGGCACCGAGATAAAGAGGGGCGAAAAATAGACTCCCTGGCCAGGCGAGTTTATGCTGCTTCGGGCTTGGGACTTCGCATTTCAAATTATGAGGCGACGTTGGCGAGATATCAATATTTTATTATGCAGCGCCTCCACAACGTCGCCTCCACCGTCCCAGACCACCAGGGTGATCTCGCGAAGGTCCTGATCAAGGAAGGCATGCAGGTCGCGGTGCAGCAGTTATCCACAGCAAGGCACCACGTGGATACTGACTCCCGGGCCTTGGTCGGTGCCATTTCCCTTCGGAGGCATGCATGGCTCCGGAATTGTAATTTCCTGGAAGAAACCAAGCGGCAAATAGAGGAAATGCCTTTCGATGGATCTGGGCTTTTCCATTCTCCGCCCGACCATAAGCTCAAGAAGCTCCATGAATCGAGGATGACGGCACGCAGGATGGAGATCCAGTCTCACACTAGACGTAAGTGGTCCTGGAATCGTCCATCCTACAGGCAATCATACCAACTGAGACAGCA